CCCGGGTCAGATTGTACCCAGGGCATCCAGCTCCAGGACAGGAGACCTTTCACGCAGTGCTGAGGGAGATCGGAGAGGCAGCGAGGTCTAAGCAAACAGTTGTAATGGGGGACTTCAGCTCCCTGCATTTAACTCAGTCAGTTCTCACAAGGGGTTTCTCCACGCTGGAAATGACAGTCTTGGAGTAGCTAATCCTGGAGCACAGGGAGTGCTCCCAGCGCACAGCCGCGGGTTCAAGGAGTAACTTGGGTGAGCCGCCAAGTACCAGTGACCGTGGGATGGACCAGTTCACCGTCCTGACGGGAGGGAAGGTACCAAACACCGGCCCAGTGACACTCGGCTCTGGGAAGGGGGATTCCAAGATCCTGGCATCCAAAGTGAGGATGTTACAATCTTTCGACTCAGCGTGGGAGCCCGGAGGCACCAAAACAGAGTCCGAGGAGGCAGGGAAACCATAGACCGCAAAGGTGGCAGGGCAGCAAGAGCTTAGCCAGTCTGGCTACGTGACCAGGGTCCAGGGTCCCCGAGGCAAACAGACCCCTTCCTGGGCCGGGGACATGCAGCCAAGGGTGGCCCGCAGAAGGAACAAACTCCGGCAGGTAAGGCGTGCGCGGAAATGGGGAGCATGAGCAAATTTAAAGAGCAAATATCCGAGACTTCGAAACAAAATATTGTCGGAGTGTTTGAGAAGCAGGAAGGCTGTGAGAAAATGGGTGGGTTCTTGGGAGCCCGGGGGAAGGGCGCAGGTAAGGAGGAGGAGGACATTGCAGAGAGCCATCAGTCTTCCATCCAGAGAGGATGTTGGGAGATGGCTGCCCTGTCCCTGCAGGTAAAGGTGAGGCGCTGGGTACGAGAGGAGGTGCTGGACACACTAGGGAGCAGCAAGTCTCCGGAACTGGATGTTTGTCTGCCCAAGAGTCTGAGCTGAGCTGCTAGCGAGAGTTCACGTCTTTTATTCAAATCCGCTCCCACAGCAGAGACCTGGAAGGTACAAACACTGTCCCTGACTCTCAGAGCTGGGAGCCTGACTCCAGGAGCACTTAACGTGGGTGAAACAAGGATTAAACACAGAATTGAACATGCCGAGGTGGTGAGGAGATAACAGGGACAAAGCTGCCAGAGGGAGCTGCTAGCGTCTTGCATTGGGTGAGTTTCTATTAGAGTTCATGGTCTTGGTCCTTATCTTAGAGTCACAGAGTTTAACGGCCAGAAGATGCCACCAGATCATCTATCTGACCTCCTGTCTAGCCCAGCACCTGCCCACTCAGCGCAACAACCCAGCTGAGACACACGGGAGGCGACGGATGTGCCGCAGGCAGAGACTGGGTGGGACTGAGGTGCACCATGCTCGAGCAATGGCAGGGAATGATAGCGAGATAGACCCAGAGTGATCTGCACCCACACGCTACGGAGGGAGGCGAAAAGGTCACAGCCAGTCTGACCTGGGGGAAGATTCCTTCCTGGCCGCACATGTGACAGTTCATTAGACCCTGAGCATTGGAGGAGAAGACAGCGAGCCCAGCACTGAGAGAGCACCTCATCCTGCAGCCCTGGCCGTCCCCGCCCAGTGATCGCTGCACACCCTCAAGGGCTCTGAAGCCAGTCCGTGTTCCCTGGGCCTCTCGCACCCAGCTACTGAAAGGAGCCATTCCGTGATCGGGGCCGGACCGGCCAGTGGGCTCCTCAGAGCCGATACCAGCCCCCCGAGAGAGCTCCTGTCCAGCTCTGCCATTCTGCACCCAGGACAATGGGCAACTCGGGCGCCTCATTCCTCTGCTCCTGCCAGAGCCTTGGTCCTCACTGCCCCCTTCCGGCAGCCGCTTGGCCGTGTTCTGCCAGCAGGGGCTGCGCTCGCCTGGCGCTCGTGGGCTCTCTAGGTAGCCATTGGGGCTAGTTCCAGTCTCTTTCCCCCTTCGGGGATGTTTCTCATGAACCATTGCTGAGAAGAGGGGCCTCTGTGCTCCGTCGGGGGCCAGCAAGGAGGGGCGTCACCTTTTGGGGGCCAGGGTTTCTCCTCCCATTGTTCCCTCACCCCCTTCCTTCTGGGCATGTGCGCTTGATCCTGAACTTACCATGTCCCAGCAAATTCACCCAGTGCCTCAGGGGTGGATGGTAACCCCGACCTCCGTCACGCCCAGCCTAGAGCCTTGAGATCAGTTCCCAGCTCTTACGTACCCGTGGCCATGTGTCTGGCTCACTGGGGTATCTCCAAGGCCCAGTGCAGGTCACGGCCATTCGGCCTGCTGTGGCCCCAGCAGGCTTTACCAAGCGCCTGGCGGGAGGGACAGCCGTCCTCTGATGTCGGGGCACATGCTGGGGAGAATGCAGGAGGTTTTGGTAATATTTCTATAAACACTATGTGTGACTCAATGTCCCCACTCCCTTTGTGTTGCTGCCCACTGGGTGCGAAGGGGTTAACGTCCTCTCTGGGACCAGGAGATAAGAGCTCGGAATGGGAGGCACCAGGCACTGTCGAGGCCTGGCCACATCTGGGCCTCTGCGGAGACGCTGGAAACCTCCGCGATGCAGATTAGTTTAAACGATTGGCAGCAGAGGAAGCTGAAGTGTGAACCCAGCGTGTGGAGACCGAGGAACTGAGGCGGGAGCCGCTGGGTGTTAGGTGTGCAGCTGCGGACACCCAGACCTGCAGCCGGAGGGGGAGAGAGGGTGTCAGGGAGTCAGAGCAGCTGCGTCTGCCAGCGTGGGCTCTGCCTGACACTTGGCTTCCCCGTGCCGACCTGAGGACTCCCTGAGGACTCTGAGTCCAGGGGATAGATAAACGCTGCCTTGTTGTGAGCGGCCGTGCTGCAGACACGCCTGGTTCTTGTACAAACGCCTGCCCCGAGGACTGAACTGTCTCCTTCGCTTGTAGCGAGCCGGTCCTGCTGTCACTTCAGTCAGAGCCCCCCTGGCTGCAGCCTCTGCCTGCCATCCACCTGAGCCTACCTGGTGCTCACCCGACTCCTCCAGGGTGTTACTCCATCAGAGGGCCACGCCCAGCTAGCAGCTCCGCCTGGTCTGCTGGGACCCAGGAAGGACTGTTCCCTTTATCACCAGTCTCTCTCGGTGGCTGTCTCCACAGCCAGAGATGGTGAGCTGCGAGCCCTGAGGCCTTGCTTTCCTATGTGGTGCTCATAGGCATGGGGGAGGCTCAGTCCCTGCCCCAAGTCTTCTCCAAGGTGCGTTCTTGCTCCCATCTGAAGCAGGCAGGTGACCGACCTGATTTCTCACCCTGGGGAGGCGAGGCTGCATGGCTTGGGTGCTCAGAGAGCCCTTTCTGCTTATCCAGATAGGACAAACCACTCCGGAGTTGCCGGTAGTTTGCAGCCCGCAGTGATATCTGGGGGCAATCTTTTCCCCACAGGTTATCCCAGGGGACCAGCCCAGTTTGTTGTGAGCTGCAGGCCTCTCCCCTCCCGTGGGTATCGGCGCTGCAGCTCCTTTAGCAAGACGTAGGAACCTGGCTACCAGAGAGCTTGGCAGGGTTGCACCATGGAGTTGTCTGCACCTTGCCTAGATCTGGCTCCCTCCTCAGACCCCACCTGCCTCGTTCAGGAGCTGCTCGCTCGTCGTGGGATTGTCAGCGGTGTGTGTGGATCCTCACTCGATCAGTGAGGGAAGGGCGTGGCGGGGGAGGCTGCATCCCCGGGGGGACGCCTGGCGAGGTGCTGCTGGATGCCCAGTATGCCGGCGCAACCCCAATGGACGCTGCTGGCCAGGAGGCCCCGCACGTGCCCCGGCAGTGGGATCACCCCGGACAATTGTCACCAACAGCTGGTTACTGTACAGTCAGGAGCCATTCTTTACAGTGTGCACGTGGCCTGAGGAACTCACTGCCACTAGACCGCATGGAGTCCGGGGGCCGAGCAGGAATCAGACCAGGGTCAGAGGTTTGTCTGGATACAGGCGCATCTGGAGCTGCCACAGGGGGGTGACGAGTCTGGCAGGACTCCCTGGCCTCCTACTTTGGGGTGTTTGCAGCCTCCCCGGGCAGGGGCAGGAGAGAAGAACTGCTCACCACAGGACTTCTTGGCCTTCCTCATGCAGCTGACATTGTGCCAGCCGTGCCCTGCCTGGGCTGCTGGGACAGTCTGTGTAGCGGGGGTGCCGAGAGCATTGAACCGAACTAACCCTGCATACAATGGAAACCCCACTGCACCCCTAGGACCAGCACCGAGGGGCTAGTCCTACAGTCCTCAGAGAAGCCAGCCCCGCTGCAGTGTCACGAGCCGCATCCCAGCCCGGGGAGAACACGGAATCAGGGTTGTTGTGAGCTGTGTGGTCCTCCGCTGGCTCCGTGTCCTCCGCTCCAAGCCCTTGTCTGAGCCGGCTTCCCTGGGGCGCCAGGGACAGTCTGAGGTGGCCCTGCCGTGCCGTGCGAGGTTGCACGGTGTGAGCACACCCAAGGAGGATGGTTGTAGCCCCCCGGGGGGCAGCCTGCAGGCGGGTCCCAGTCGCACGCCAGCTCACCCAGCTCTCTCTCTTGCAGGCCACCAACGGCAGCGGCGCCTTTAGCGACTACTCCTCCTCCGTGCCCTCCACCCCCAGCATCAGCCAGCGGGAGCTGCGCATCGAGACCATCGCTGCCTCCAATACGCCCACCCCCATCCGCAAGCAGTCCAAGCGGCGCTCCAACATCTTCACGGTACGTGTGGCCAGCGGCGGGACGCACCAGGCAGGCGGGCGAGGGGAGAGAGGCCCCATCGGCACAGGGCGGCCCTGCTCACGGCCATTCGCATGCTGGGGCCACCGAGCAGAGCGTGACTTCTGGGGCACGGAGAGGCTGTGGGGAGCACGATGGTGTGTGTGTGTGTGTGTGTGTGTGTGCACATCCTCTGTGTGCGTGTGAATTCTCCCTGTGTATGTGTGTGTGTGTATCCTCTGTGTGTTTGTGCATGCATGTGGGTGCATCCTGTGTGTGTGTGTGTGCGTCCTCCGTGTGTGTGCATCCTCCGTGTGCCTGTGTGAATCCTCCCTGTGTATGTGTGTGTGCATCCTCTGTGTGTGTGTGTGTGTGTGTGTGCGCATTCTGTGTGTGGGTGCATCCTCCATGTGTTTCCTCCGTGTGCGTGTGTGCATCCTTCATGTGCGTGTGCATCCTCCGTGTGTGTGTGTGTGTGTGTGTGTGTGTGTGTGTGTGTGTGTGTAGACTCCCTCCCTTGTGCGTGTGC